TGTATAAATGAATGGACCAACCTGAAAGCTGCTCGAGCTGAGGAGGTCCTGTCTGAGTTGATTGGAGGGCGTGGTTGGGTGTTCCCGGTATATTCTACTGCGCATGCGCAGTCCCATTGTATAAATGAATGGGCCAACCTGAAAGCTGCTCGAGCTGAGGAGGTCTGAGTTAATTGGTAGGTGTGGTTAATAATTATGGCCCATCCTACATTGTAGTGAAGATGTGTGGCTTATTCTTGTTAACAAATTGACTCTGGCTGGGACTTAATTATTAAAGGACCTTCTTTCTTGATGTCTTTGGGCGACGGGACATCTTTCACTATCATTGGGGAGTTGTTATACTCAATCTTGGCCTGTCCGAGGCTAACCTTATCCATTACAACTGTAGTTATCGAGGTAAATACGCAGGCTATAGATCAATTTTATGTATAACTACTGTATAAGCTTATGAGTTTTACTGTATTACTGAACGTGTACAATTAGGTAAAGTATTGTTTAAAATACAGTACAATACTGTTTTAACTGCTGTATACTAGTGTTTTTGCTGTTCTATTTATAGTGAGATGGACTTTGATGTACACTAATAAAGTCTTACTCCTTCTCAAGGCGATGGATCATCTTTTACCAAGATAGGACAGCTTATATTCATTATATCTTTTCAATTGTACAACATTACTGTATATACTGAGATATTTAGCTGTTGTTTAATTACTGTGTAGTGTGTAAACTGTATTACCTGTATTTTAGTGTAGTATCAAGTTTATTATAACAATAACAGTGACTATTTAGCTAGCTATTAGGTGTGATGATGGCAGTAGTGTTGTTATTACTTAAAAGAATGTATTATTAATAAATTAATTAAGGAGATTGCGCAATGCGTCTGTGCATCCGCAGAAAGTTGAGTGGTGTCTATTGCACATGCGCAGACCTCCTCTGTAAAGGAATGGGCCAACTTGCTGTAAGTAACATACCATTTTTGCAAAAATGGCCAAAAAATCACTCCAAATTTTTATTACATTTTCTGACACATATTGATGTCCTTATGCTGTGTAGAAAGATTCAGCTGATTTCAATCAAGTTTGGATTTTTTATGATTTTTCAAAGTTGCTCAAAAATTGGACAAAAGTCCCTGTACTATAGTACAGGGATTTTTGTAAAATTTCACAAAAATTGAAAAGTAGAAAATTCCCCAGTGTTATTACATTTTCTGATGCATAAACATGTACTTATGCAGTGTAGGGAAGTTGAGCTGATTCCGATGAAGTTTGAATTTTTTATAGTTGCTCAAAAATCGGGCTAAAGTCCCTGTACTATAGTACAGGGATTTTTGAAAAATTTCAATAAAATTGACAAGTGAAAAATTCCCCAGTTTTATTACATTTTCTGATGCGTATACATGTACTTATGCAGTGTAGGGAAGTTTAGCTGATTCTGATAAAGTTTGAATTTTTTATAGTTGCTATAAAATCAGGCAAAAGTCCCTGTACTATAGTACTGGGATTTTTGGGAAATTTCAATAAAATTGACAAGTGAAAAATTCCCCAGTTTTATTACATTTTGTGATGCATATACATGTACTTATGATGTGTAGAGAAGTGGAGCTGATTCCGATCAAGTTTGGATTTTTTATGATTTTTAAAGGTGCTGTATATTTGTACCATCTTTGAATTGATTGTTAGTGGGTGTTCCCGGTATCGTCTACTGCGCATGCGCAGATCCCTCTGTATAAATGAATGGGCCAACCTGAAAGCTGCTCGAGCTGAGGAGGTCTGAGTTAATTGGTAGGTGTGGTTAATGATTATGGCCCATCCTACATTGTAGTGAAGATGTCTGGCTTATTCTTGTTAATTAATTGACTCTGGCTGGGACTTAAAATATTAAAGGACCTTCTTTCTTGATGTCTTTGGGCGACGGGACATCTTTCACTATCATTGGGGAGTTGTTGTACTCAATCCTGGCCTGTCCGAGGCTTAACTTATCCATTACAACTGTAGTTACCGAGGTAAATACACTATAGATCAATACTGTATTGTGTATGTATAACTACTGTATAAGCTTATGAGTTTTACTGTATTACTGAACGTGTACAATTAGGTAAAGTAATGTTTAAAATACAGTACAATACTGTTTTAACTGCTGTATACTAGTGTTTTTACTGTTCTATTTATAGTGAGATGGACTTTGATGTACACTAATGAAGTCTTACTCCTTCTCAAGGTGATGGATCATCTTTTACCAAGATAGGACAGCTTATATTCATTATATCTTTTTAATTGTACAACATTACTGTATAATAATTATACTGAGATATTTAGCTGTTTTTTAATTAGTAATTACTGTGTGGTGTAAACTGTTCCCGGTATTTTCTACTGCGCATGCGCAGATCTCCCTGTATAAATGAATGGGCCAACCTGAAAGCTGCTCGAGCTGAGGAGGTCTGAGTTAATTGGTAGGTGTCGTTAATGATTATGGCCCATCCTACATTGTAGTGAAGATGTGTGGCTTATTCTTGGTAACAAATTGACTCTGGCTGGGACTTAAAGTATTATAGGACCTTCTTTCTCGATATTTTTGGGCGACGGGCCGTCTTTCACTATCATTGGGGACTTGTTGTACTCAATCCTGGCCTGTCCGAGGCTTACCTTATCCATTACAACTGTAGTTACCTAGGTAAATACACTATAGATCAATACTGCATTGTGTATGTATAACTACTGTATAAGCTTATGAGTTTTACTGTATTACTGAACGTGTACAATTAGGTAAAGTACGGTTTAAAATACAGTACAATACTGTTTTAAGTGCTGTATATTAGTGTTTTTACTGTTCTATTTATAGTGAGATGGTTTTTGATGTACACTAATGAAGTCTTACTCCTTCTCTAGGTGATGGATCATCTTTTACCAAGATAGGACAGCTTATATTCATTATACCTTTTTAATTGTACAACATTACTGTATATACTGAGATATTTAACTGTTGTTTAATTACTGTGTAGTGTGTAGACTGTTTTACCTGTATTTTAGTGTAGTATCAAGTTTATTATAACAATAACAGTGACTATTTAGCTAACTATTAGGTGTGATGATGGCAGTAGTGTCGTTATTACTGAAAAGAATGTATTAATTAAGGAGATATGCGCAATACTTTTGTGCATCCGCAGAAAGTTGAGTGGTGTCTACTGCACATGCGCAGACCTCCTGTGTAGAGGAATGGGCCAACTTACTGTAAGTAACATACCATCTTTGCAAAAATGGCCAAAAAATCACTCCAAATTTTTATTACATTTTCTGATACATATTGATGTCCTTAAGCTGTATAGGGAAGTTGAGCTGATTCCGATCAAGTTTGGATTTTTTATGATTTTTTATAGTTGCTTCAGAATCGGACAAAAGTCCCTGTACTATAGTACAGGCATTTTAAAAAAATTTCAAAAAAATTGACAAGTGAAAAATTCCTGAATGTTATTACATTTTCTGATGCATATACATGTACTTATGTAGTGTACAGAAGTGGAGCTGATTCCCATTAAGTTTGGATTTTTTATGATTTTTTTAAAGATGCTGTATATTTGTACCATGTTTGAACTGATTGTTAGTGGGTGTTCCCGGTATTGTCTACTGCGCATGCGCAGATCCTCCTGTATAAATGAATGGGCCAACCTTAAAGCTGCTCGAGCTGAGGAGGTCTGAGTTAATTGGTAGGTGTGGTTAATGATTATGGCCCATCCTACATTGTAGTGAAGATGTCTGGCTTATTTTTGTTAACAAATTGACTCTGGCTGGGACTTAAAATATTAAAGGATTTTTTTCTTGATGTCTTTGGGCGACGGGACATCTTTCACTATCATTGGGGAGTTGTACTCAATCCTGGCCTGTCCGAGGCTTACCTTATCCATTACAACTGTAGTTACCGAGATAAATACACTATAGATCAATACTGTATTGTGTATGTATAACTACTGTATAAGCTTGTGAGTTTTACTGTATTACTGAACGTGTACAATTAGGTAAAGTACGGTTTAAAATACAGTACAATGCTGTTTTAACTGCTGTATATTAGTGTTTTTACTGTTCTATTTATAGTGAGATGGACTTTGATGTACACTAATGAAGTCTTACTCCTTCTCAAGGAGATAGATCATCTTTTACCAAGATAGGACAGCTTATATTCATTATATCTTTTCAATTGTACAACATTTCTGTATAATAATTATACTGAGATATTTAGCTGTTGTTTAATTAGTAATTACTGTGTGGTGTGTAAACTTTTCCCGGTATTTTTTACTGCGCATGCGCTGATCCCCCTGTATAAATGAATGGGCCAACCTGAAAACTGCTCGAGCTGAGGAGGTCTGAGTTGATTAGTGGGCGTGGTTAAGGGTGTTCCCGATATTTTTACTGGGCATGCGCAGATCCCCCTGTATAAATGAATGGGCCATCCTGAAAGCTGCTCGAGCTGAGGAGGTCTGAGTTGATTGGTGGGCGTGGTTAAGGATAATGGCCAATTTACACAGTGCGAATCAAGGAATATCAATGGACTGTCTTTCCTAATGTCTTTGAGTGGCTGTCCATCTTTCACCATCAATGGGGACTTCTTGTACTCAATCCTGGCCTGTCTAAGGCTCACCTAATCGATTACAACTGTAATTACACCTGTAGATTAATGCTGTATACTACTGTATGAGCTTTGTGATGATTATTATAATCCATAATTAGCTGTATATCAATAATAAAGTATTTTTACTGTTTCATTTTTAGTGCAATGAACTTGGATGTAAAATAATAAAGTCTTATTCTTTCTTTGGTGATGGGCATCTTTTATCAAGATGTACTGCTTATACTGTATCTAATACATCAAAAGTTCCAATTTTACTATAATGTATAAATATTTAGCAGTTGTTTATTTGTTACTGTATAATTTTTGTTTTAATAATAATGATCTTTCAACTAGTAAGAGTGAAGCACTGGAGTAAGCAGTAGCATTGCTCTGACACCAGGTCCACTTCTTTCTTTGTTGGTCATGAGCAAATAAAAAAAATTAGAAAATAAACAATAAAAAGTAAGAAAATAGTCCAAAAATATTGCCACACTCTCAGAAGAAATCAGAAGAAATTCCAAAATAAAAGTAATCTGAAAATATCCCCATGCTGTCTAAACAAATCAGAAAAAATGGAAAATAAAAACCCGGCGGCGTTGGAAAAAATTGGAAAAAATTCTAAATATTAGAAATAATAATCCAAAGGTGCTCCCAAGCTATTTGCAAAAAACAATTCTGGCAGTGTCGAAAAAAAATTGTAAAAATTCTAAAAATCAGAAATAATAATCTGAATGCGCTTCCAAGCTATTGGCAAAAAATAAAAAAATAAAAAAATAATTAAATAATACAAAAATTCCGGCGGCATCAGAAAAAATTGGAAAAATTCTAAAAATCAGAAAATAATGATTCAAAGGTGCTCCCAAGCTTTGGGCAAAATATAATAAATCATAAAAAAAAAAAAAAATTCCGGCAGCGTCGAAAAAAATTCTAAAAATCAGAAGTAATAATCGGAATGCGCTCCCAAGCTATCGGCCCAAAAAAAATTGAAAAAAATTCTGGTGGCTTTAGAAAAAATTGAAAAAAATTCTAAAATCAGAAAA